TCTCTGTGGGGACGGGGTAAGTACTGTTCATTAATCGACCATACCACCCGCGGTAGAAAGAAAATTGACCTCGTACCCAAGTCTCTTCCGCGGTCGTATCCAGTCTGACTGTTCAGAGCATAGTCAGAGAGAAGCGAACTTGGAAATGGAGGTAGAAAACGCTCGTTTCCAGTGAAATGCGCGGGGAATTTTAGTAATGAGACATTTCCCAGGTGCAGTGATCTTAAATCGTAAACTACGGCCGAAAAAAATGCCGATTGGGAGTATTTTCGGGGCGCAAACCACCTCTGCGTGGATAACGGTCAAAATCGGAGTGTGCAGCTTTGACTTCGTCGATATGACAGGAATTACAGTGATAGCAAAACACGCTTAAACGGCAAAACACGCTTAAACGGCAAAAATCGCCGGAAACCACAGCGGATTCATAAGATGTGAGTAAGTTTTATTGATTTTACGTGTAAAATGTTCATATTTCAAAGTATTTATCGTTGTAAATCGACCATATTTCTTCCCCATACTATTCCTTATAAAGTGTGCAAATTCTCAATGGTTCCTCTTGAAACTTAACACCAAGTCACACAACGCGTGACGATTTCATGATTTAATCGTTTGCTTTTTCTCGAAACGTGAACTTGGGCTGCCTGTAGTCATATGAACTTTGTACGCACACCGTGGAGTCTCGACATTGCCGATACTAGCAGTAAACAGGAAGCGTGCCATATGGACTTTGAAATGGGTCAAATTTTGGGGCCATCACGCATCACGCAAAAACCCTTTGCCACCCTCTCTTGAGTTTCTAGAGTTTCGTTGCTGTAGAGAATTCCCTTAGTAAACCAAAAGCTACCTTTTGACGAAAGAATCAGCTGTATCACGATGCACTGAGAAGTCATAGGGCAGTTTCACTGCAAGTTGCTCCTTTCCTTAGAGATTGCAAAGGCAGAGGCTATCGTCGTGATCGTTGAGCCGGCCAAACCGAACGGAAAACGAGTGAGTTTACAGTCATATGATTCAAGTTTATCTCAAATAGGGATTTCAATAGAGAAAGACTTCTTTAGTTAAGGTGCAGCATTGCCATAAGACCCCTTTCCGCTCAAAGGAAATAACTGACACCAGTATTGTAAATAATTACTTCGTATGCATCGACTTTCACACGGCACTTGAATTTGCTACCATCTAATTCAATAAAATTTGCGTTTCTTTATGTATCTCGTTGCAGTTCTTTGATTAAAATGACAATACTACTGTTGCTACTTTTAGTTTCTTGAGGGTAGGGGGGAATTGATGGCTCGTGGGGTGGATTTTCGGAACCCAGGTTAGGAGAGTACACGGCCCCTTCGAGCTTGTGTTTATGTCAGTATCCGCCAAAAGTTCCGCAATGTTCACGCAACAGGATATCGGTCAGAAAAGCTCAAGAAAGGGCTTACAATGCAGTACAAAAAGAAAGGCGTAAATGTAATCATGTTGAAAGACAAGGAGTATGAGTACATCTCAAGCGCGTGAAATAAACAACAATAAGAAGCTCACCATTCTCCGCTTGCGAATGTCAGCCGAAAAGAATGTTTAACAATCGTGTACGGTGTGGGATCAGGCCCTTAATTAGCTGAATTCTTTGGTTATCTACCCCGGATTTGACCAGGGGTACGATTTTGTAACAAGTGTCTTCGGAGCCGGTACGGAGCATAAGGCCGACGACATTGAAGAGTAAAATCTCCTCGATGTCCGAAACGCGTCTATTTTGGCCATACAGCTACATCCTTTGGAATGTAGTGTATAGAAATACCCGGTATATGTGTATTATTCTTGTAGATAACATCGTTTGACGCTCCGGCCACGCAATACGTCCGTCTTTTTTTTCTAGTTTTCTTCTTCACAGCCATGTGACATGATCGTTTTGGCCGCGCGCTAATGGAGACACTTTTTGGCCGCTAAATTGTACTTTCAGTGCACAAAAATATGGTCAAGGAGAACTCGCTGGGCGCTAAGGTTTATTATTTCTGATTTTAAATACAGCTATCAGCCAGAAAATGCAAGACCAAATTTCGTGTCATGGCACTTCGATTAGCATCGCGCTCACGAAACTGGAGTTCAAAGTCCACTTAATTTCTGCTTACATTTGTAAACAGCGCCACGGTTGTCGATAAAAGTTGGACCATTTGCTGCAGAATCTCAAGGTTTTTACAGATTTCTTCAAGAGATAGTTACGCTGCAAGCGTGAAGAAAGAGCGACTCTTCTTTCAGTCGAAAGAATCGCTGCAAGAAACAACTAGCTTTAATTTAAGAGCTTCGCTGCACCGTTCGCAAAGAGACCGCATGCCTTCGTAATATGTAGATTGGACAACTGTAACTCTCTTTTATATGGACTTCCGAAATACCTAATTCATAAACTTCAGTTAGTTCAGAACTGTGTGGCGCGTCTAATCTTGTGTGGTTCTGAATATGACCGTATTACTCCTTTACTGAGAGAACTACATTGGCTTCCCGTGGAGCAGGGGATTGTTTTCAAAATCCTTCTGTTGTCTTTTAAATCTTTAAATGATTTAGGTCCTAGCTATATTTATGATTTGTTGCAAACTTACAACCCATCTAGGAATTTACGATCATCAACTATGAACTTGTTAGTGACACCTAGATCGAGGTTAAAAATTTTATGGTGATCGTGCTTTTTCGGTCTGCGCCCCTAAACTTTAAATCTTACATCTTTTAAGAGCAACCTAAAACGTATCTTTTTGAGCGCTATTTTAATTTGTAGTTTGCTCTAATATTGTTTGAATTTATTATTTACCAAGTTACTGCTTTAAACATTTTATTGTAAAGCGCTTTAAAGCTCTAGAATAGGGCGCTATAGAAATTTTTGTATTATTATTATTATTGTTCTAGAGAAGATAGGCGATCGATCACTGGCACTGCTTGATATATTTAAGATTTTCCATAGGCAGTTGCTAACGAAACGGAGACAACGTTACCTTCAAAAAACATATGTATGGCTTTCTACTGTTGTTCTTGACATGTCTCTATCCAAAAGTTGCGCAAACTTGCCTTTAAACCTTGTCGTAGATCGCTGATAACTGAAAAGTTCACTATGAAAGCATTTTGTTCACCATCTTGTTCGTTAGGATGAAAACAAATTACTAGCTCTAGCCAATCAGAATTAAAGAAAGAATAGGCAATGGTGGATAACCAATGAAAAGTCATCACATATTTTCTTGCAAAAAAAGAGTGACGTCACGGAACACGATTAGTGTCAGGTTTCGCCTCCGCCTTCTAAACGTTGTAGACGCGACTCGGGCTGATACCAAGTGTTTATTGAAATGTTCCTCGATAAATTTTTCTTCACGTGCGAGTCATAAATGTCAGGTGACACTTAAGCTTCTTCCCGGCTTCTAGACACGAAATATTCGTGTTTTTGTTTTTGTTTTTCTGTTTTGTTTTTTTATTCTGTGTTTTTGTGTGTGCAGTAATTAGATTTTAAACAGCCAAATTTCTCGCTTACTACTGTATGATGAATGATTGAAAATAATTACTCCTGCATTTACGGGCTAATTTCTTTTTCCAGTAAATAGAACACTTCACTCTTTTTATAGAATACTAGAATGAAGGTTGAACATGGCATTCGACCATGTAATTAAGGTTATTTGCCACCTTCAGAGGCCGAAAAAATCGTTTTTTCTTTCATTTGATTTAACTTAAACCAAACATTTAACAAAACGTTTCCATAAAAAAAAAAAATTTCTGAAATCTTTAAAAGCACCCGAGATATTGACGCCAGGAGGTCCCGTTGTCCCATTGGTTTGTGGTTTCTGAAGGCGAGATTATCTCCTCGCGTGGCGTGTGTCGTTTGCGAACCTTTATGAGCTTAAATCTTATCCAACCACTTGGAGCAAATTTATAGGGTATATAGATTTGATCGATTTTCGTCAAAATTTCGCCAAAACATTCTAGGAATAATGACAAACGAAAGTGTGTCGGGAAATTTTGGTATTTGAAATATTTGTACCGTGGTGTCCATTTACGCCACATGCCTCAAGTATTTTTAGTTACTCCAACTTTAGATGCCGATATCAAGACAACCACTCGGAATATCGAAAAAGCCCGACACGCGTTCGTTGATTGATACCTTGTGAATGAGACTGTGCAGCCAGTTTGCTCGTGCTGCGGCATCCGATACCTGATAACTTCAATGGAAGAACTTTCGGTCGTTTCACGCCTTACCCGGCTCCTGATACTTCCTGAAGTAAAAATTCGCCAAAATTATATTTTTATGGTAATCTGCAGTTATTAAGCTTTCTTCTGATGTATAGTTTGCTAGGATTTTAGACAAGACAACAATATCGGCAGCATTGACTGGGTGTTAGCTTTTTCACACGGAAAACTCGGAAATGAATGAATGGGATAAGTTTATAAAGAAACCGTGGCGCTGCGTCAGTGGGGTTACCGGTATAACAAGACAGTTTGTTTTACAAACATGATTGATATTGACTGATCTGAGCAGTATACAGGACGTGTGTCATATGAACTTCATAATGGACCTCGTTCACCGTAGTCTCTAGCCTAGCAGTATGCATGTCATATGAACTTAGTAATGGACCTCGCTCACCGTAGAGTCTCTATCCTAGCAGTATGCATGTCATATGAACTCCGTTATGGACCTTGCTCACCATAGAGCCTCCAGCCTAAAAGTATGCATTTCATATGAACTTTGTAATGGACCTCGCTTACCGTAGAGTCTCTATCCTAGCAGTATGCACGCCATATGAACTTCGTAAGGAACCTCGCTTACCGAAGGGTCTCTGTGGCTCAGTGGTAGAGCATCGGAGCGCGGAATCCGAAGGTCTAAGGTTCGATTCCTCATTGGAACTCAGTTTTTTTTCTTTGTCCCACATGTTTCACACATGTTGCACGTGGTAGACGCGACTCGGGCTGATACCAATTGTTTATTAAAACGTTCCTCGATTACTTTTTCTTCACGTGCGCGTCATATTCCATCGACTATATATGACGCGACTATATATGCTTGAATGGCAAAACTCTCGTCTTCAGAGTAAGATGGAGTCACCCGTAGAGCGGGCAAGTTCCCGCCAAAGCCGTGACATAGATATCGCCAGAAACGTTTACGACGAAAGCTTCTTCACTGCATCAAAACGCCATGGCTCTCCATTGAGTAGCAAAGAAGACTCAACGAAGAAGAGCCGTTACTTGAATGCCGTTCGTCGAAAGCTTTCTCCGAGTTCGTGTTCATGGAGTGGATTCATCTCTGTGCTGACTCAGCTCATGCCGATTATTCGCTGGTTACCAAAATACAACTTCAAAGAAGATTTGTTTCCCGACTTAAATGGAGGTGTTACGGTCGCTGTCATGCATATTCCTCAAGGTATAGCAATTTTTTACTGATCCATGGATCGTCTGCCTAGTTATGTCTTAACATCATCCGACTGACAAAACAACACGTTAAGATTTAGTTTGGCAACAGCTAGAATTAATCTGTACGTAATGCGTTCGCTTTGGAGAAGAGGGCATGATTTGGCAGTTCGCTTTCTTTGTTATAGCGAGGAATTACTGTCAAAATATCTGTAAGAAGAATGGGGGAGGTGCGCATTACTGCTGGGGGTTAGTCGACGGGGACTATCAGTTACACAAATTGTGTAGACTTAATAAATAGCCGGGGGTAGTTTGGGAAGATTATCATGGCTTTAGCATCTTTGAAAACTGTCACATGTGAGGAGCTCATTTTTGAGTAATGGGCTCCTGCACATGTCTTTTTCTGACGTCATCTTTTTCTCTTCCAGGACTCGCATTCGCCATGCTGGCTTCTCTTCCGCCGGTCACGGGACTTTACACCGCCATTGTCCCAGTATTGCTTTATATGATCATGGGTACATCACGTCACTTGTCTGTAGGTATGGAGGAAATTCTTTCCTTTTGTTTTTTTTTTAGTACCTCTGCAGCTTTGAAGGAATGATTCTATCATTAATACACAAGTTTTTGGTTGTATTAACCTTTTACACCCTGATATCAGTATGCATATTCTCAATACTTTTAGCTATATATTTCCTAAAGCTCTGACAAGGAGAATTCGTTCAACAATCTAGAGCTTCTCTCGTTGGTGATCATTTCCTTTATTTACGTGACCTTAATGTGCGATTCTTCGGTGAGGAGAGATTAGATGCCAATCTCTGTCAGGTGTTAAAGGGTTAAATGACCGACAGACTGTAGTGAGACAAGTAATCAGTTTAATGATTGGTTGTTGTTGTCACGTGATAGGTAGTTTTGCAGTCATATGTTTGATGGTGGCACAAGTTGTTGAACGCGAAGTGGGTCACATGCCCGCAACACCCAGTCCCGCACCAGGTAATAGCTCGATGCCCAGTCCTTCTCCGACAAGTGGAGGCTCCGCGTTATGGTCACCCTACGATTCGGCCAAATTGGAAGTCGCCATTTCCCTCTCCTTACTCGTTGGCATCATCCAGGTAAAGTGATTTACCATTTGCTTTCTACAAATGTGAATAGTAGTTTAAAAAGTATGTTTTTTTAACGGTAGGTTATCATGGGAGTGGCGAAGCTGGGGGTTGTGGCGACGTACTTGTCGGATCCATTGATCAGCGGTTTCACCACAGGATCAGCGGTGCTTGTTGTCAACAGCCAATTGAAACATATACTTGGACTAACAGTTCCTCGGATCACCGGATCATTTGCCGCAGTGAAGGTAACTAAGCCTTGAGCACATTGTTTCAACCATCCTCTAACCATCTGCCGAATCCTTGGAAAATAAATCTCGAAGTTTGAAAAAATCACTAGAATACACGAATTGTATCCGATTTCCGACCAAATGGTCACAATATCTACCTTATATTCTACCAAAATTACTGTTAATTCATATCCCTCAGAGTGGCTTACCTGTTAGGGAGCTCTTTCTTTATCTCCTCTAGGCCTACGATTCTTTACATCGTCTTTGAATACTATTAAATTGTTAAACTTCGCGTATATATTTTCTTTCTTCTCGTGCTCCGCTAAATTTGAGTATAGGATTTTTTCCAAGATAAATTTTACGACCTAGATCTAGAGATGCCCGAACCAATAACCGAGAATTCGTGATCGAACTAACCTTCTCAATGATTCAAACAAATGATGATGATAATTGCTTTCAGATCTTTATTCATATGATGAAAAACATTCCCTCGGCGAACGTTGGAGCCGTAATTACAGGCCTGCTCTGTCTTTTTCTGTTGATTGGACTGAAAGAAATAAACGTTAGATTCAAGGACAAACTGAAAGTTCCCATCCCTGCTGAACTTCTAGTGGTAAGAACATTTATTTCATTGGGTCAATTTGTAGGATAGTAGCCGTGGATATGAAACAGTGCCTCGAAATTTTCTATTCTTCCTCCAATAAGGATTAATTTACTGTAGGGGTGTGGCCAGGATTTTCAAAGGGGGGGGGGCTCCATGCTGTGTCAAACAGAGGGTACTCACCCGTTTTAACCAACTGAATATTGAGGGTCGTTTTCTTAAAAAAAAAAAGGCTCACAAAGGGGGGAGGGTGGTTAAGGGCACCCCAGGTCCCCCCCACCCTAGCTACGTCCTTGAACTGGTAAGGCTCGAAACTTCGTAGCTAGTTACCCAGAACGAGAAAGCCTGGAACAAGAAACTTTTTTTTATCTTTTTAAATGCATTCTTTAATCTATTAATTTTTATATTCATTTTTCAATCAAAGGATTCACAAACAATCAGAGAAATCTTTAGAAGCCCTGTTTTCTCCTGTTCAGTCAATTTGATCGAAAGCTTGGGAAACAAGGACAAACGGCTTGTTCTCACCTTTGTTTCCTTTTTTATCTGATCAGGTTGTTGTCGGAACTGCCATCTCATATGGTGCGGCCATTAATGCGAACTTTGGTACACCGATCATAGGAGAAATACCGAAGGGGTTTGTAATATACCTTGTGGTGTGCTAGACACAAGTAACATAGTGTGTTGTAACGATTTGTCTTTTAACATCGAGCGGGAGCAGTTTCCCTTGTGTGACACACCGTAAAATTGAACTTTCGCGGTAACAATATTTCGGTTGCAACTACGTATGGCTTAAATTCGAAGTCTGATATCGTTTATAGGTACAAAAGTATTTATAACTAGCTTTTAGTAACTGCGTTGTCCACGAGGAGATGTTCATAATTGTCTTTCAACAAACCACGTCTCTTTGTGCATACGTTTGTCCCAAGTTTTTTTTATCGAACTGCAACGAATATTTTTCTTCATCAGCTCCCTAGCAGGCCACGTTTTATTTAGTTCTTCATTCACTTGATTCGGTTTCAGACTTCCCCCTCTGAGTGTACCATCTTTATCCAAGATCTCGAACATTTTCTCAGACGCCTTTGTCATCGCAGTGGTGATATTTGCTACAAACATCTCGCTAAGTACGATGTTTGCTAAGAAGCGTGGTTACTCAGTCGATCCGAACCAGGTTTGTTTATTAAGAATTGTACATGAATGAAAAAAACACATACACACAATAAAAACCGAAGAGGAATTAGTGGGTGACGCAGTAGCATTTTGGTCCGTGCACGGTGTTGGGTTCTTGGGAAGACACTCTTCTTTCACTGTGCCACCCCACGCTCCCCCTCCCCCCCTGCCAGGAGTCCAAAGGGGTGCTGGTAAACTGTCAGGGTAAATTGAAGAAGTGCGGAAGATACCCCATTGTGATGGACTAGCGTCTTACCTGACTTAACTATTGCCTGTAGAACAATTGATTTTGAACAGGGGGGAGCAGCAATATTCCTAATCGCTTCATGCTGCTGAAGCTGAGATAAACTCGCCGGGATGGCCCTTTCTAGCTTGTAAGCTAACATTACCTTTGCCAACACATCGACCGACTGGTCTTAGTATAAATCGGGTGATGGAATACTTTACCTCAGCCCTGGTAACGAGGTAGACGTTAGCAAAGAGATTGCAACGTAGAGTATTCAGATAATTTTTCTGTCGAAGCGTCCTTACACATAAGTATATTTCAACTTTCAATACGGGACAGACCTCTTTGAGATGTGGGCGCCGACCGTAAACAAGGTAACATCAGATTTAGCGCGAGTTGATCCTTATCAGTCAGACTGAGTTGGACATTAAGGCTCTTGTTTAACAAATCACAGATCCATGTAATCATATTGCTGTTTTTCTTCCCTCTTCTCATTTCAGGAGCTGATTGCGTATGGAGCAGGAAACATTGGTGGATCTTTTTTTTCGTGTTTCCCGATCTGCAATGCTTTAGCGCGTACAGCGGTACAGGAAAACCTTGCAAACACTCAGGTAACCAAAAATAACCAAATGCGGTTTTTAAATTGTTTTTTAATCATTCCTTGACCTTGAAAAGCCACTGACCTATCGTTAAGTGCAAAAACCGTCGTGTCGATAAATGGTGTCATTTTTTTTTAGCATACTAAGTGTTTTACGAGGTGTAGAGTGAGTTCTTCTTCATAGCAAACTGGTTTGGAGCAATTAAAAGAAGTGTTCTGCGCGCGCCAAAGGATGCTTCACGGATTAATTGTTTCTTTTGTGTTATTATTTCACAGCTTTGCAGCGTGGTTGTGATCATCTTGGTCCTTCTCGTTCTACTGTTTATTGCTCCACTTTTTTTCCATCTTCCAAAGGTGAATTATACGTTTCAAAAATTCTTGCGCTGGCATAAGCTGTTGTTGTGTCATTTCTTGAATTTGCAAACGTTTTTTGTGTTATTGTTACTTTTGAGCTCATCGAGTTATGTTTGCTTTAATCCAGGCTATCCTAGCTGCAGTTGTGATCGCCAATCTCGTTGGCCTACTCAAACAATTTAGACGGCTGCGGCAGTTATGGGGAATTCACAAACCTGATGCGGTAAGAAACAGTGCAATAGGTGTTAATAGTTCTCTCTTAACCCTTTACTCTCTAACATCAGTATGCATATTCTCCATACCGTTTTCTGTACATTTCCTAAGGTGCTGACAAGGAGAATTTATTTAACAATCAAGAGCTTCTTTAGTTGGTTATCATTTCCTGTGTGATTCAGGGGTGTTTTTGTAAGGAGAAGTTAGATGCTTGTCACTTTTAAGTTCAAAGGGTAAACGTACCTCGATAATTACTTTGCGAGTGGGATTAACAACTAGATTAATAACACAAATAGTAAAACAAGTTCAGTATGCAAATTCATTTAAGTTTTTAAAAAGAAGTTTAAAAGATTTTTATTCCGTTTTGTTTTGAAATCTCACAGATTGTATGGTTTTTCTCTTGTTTTGGTGTCATACTGCTGGGAGTTGGTCTTGGACTTGGTGTAGGCGTGATCTGCGCCTTATTTATAGTGGTTTTCTCTCTTTCCAGGTACAAAAAGACTACATCTAAGTAGATTTCTTTCCTTCCCTTATTTTCACTTATTTACTTTATGTAGTGGTCAATTGTAGTATGCAACACAGCTTTATTGACAGCTTATTTAGTGATGAAACGAAAGCTCGCCATGAGCTCTTGATTCTTGGATAGATATGCTAAGGAGTCGAGAACTTTCTATATTCTATTTATAAATCAGAAGCAGCCTGACTTAGCGTAAGATTTTGGAATGTTCTGGATTATTCTACAACATTACTCTGCAGAGCACAATCAACTGATCTAACTTCAGGGCATTGAGCTTTGATCCAGAACCTTAAAGTCTTTCGAAGTACACTGGCATTTTGGAAATTTCCTGTGTTAATCGATTCTAAAGCACTTTTTAGCATTAACATGGCATTAGCCAAACATTTGGCGGGACTTTCCGTCTCTCCCTTCATCAGACTCGGTATCTTCCTCTGATTTGAGCTGTATATTTTTCAAAACATCTCCACTTTAGGTCCAAGTACACAATCCTTGGAAGAGTAAAAGAGACTGAGTTATATCGTGACATCAACCAATGGCCCTCGGTAGGTTATTTGTCTAAATTTACAAGGTCGACTATCATAATTATTTTTGTTCTCCCTGGTGCTTTGTGTGCTTTTTGTAAGTTTGCGTTCCAAGGATCGGTGTCATCATTTGTGGATTCAGGTTTATGAGCCAAAGCTTGTGTGAAATTGTGTTTCCGACTTCTATTTTGTCACCGAACAATAACGCTTCCATGTAACATTTTTCTTTAAAGGCTTTTGAGGTCCGTAGTGTGAAGGTGGTGAGACTCGAGTCTCCTCTTTTCTTTGGTAACGCGGAGCGCTTCAGAGAGGCACTTATTGATGCCACTGGAGTGGATCCCAGTTCTCAACAGGAAGCACCCAAACTGGGAAACGACGGCGAAAAACATGATCTTCTCAAGAACAAAAGCGGTGGAAACAGTTACGGAGGAATCCCTGGCGTTGTAAGTTAGATTTAGTAACTCTCTTATAAAGTATTCGCAGCGGTAAGTCGAATACTGGCGTACACTGGGGAACAATAATGGACCTAAGACAGACATCGATATTATTGCGGTTGGTGGTTTCTTTCAACAACACTTAAATCTAATGTTTCTTTGCGCAATAAACAATTTACATACCAACAATTGGATTAATCAGGATGTCTCCGCCAGCACCACAGAATAGATGCCAATATCTTTGAGTCAAGAATGTTGACTACACTTTTTTTAACCTTCTGTTTGCTTCTCTGCGATGCTGGCATAGTTATAAGGTGTTCACGTTTAGCACCAAAGCCGTTAATTTCTCTCGAGGTTCTTCCCTCTTGTAATCATGACAGGAAAATTTTTTTTTGCAATGTGTTTTGAACATGCGTGTAATTGTCTTGACTGCTTAAACGCTTAATTGTTGTCCATTTTTAAATAGAAACCAATTCCTGAGGACAAGGGTAGGACCTCAAGGACAGCTGCCGTTGAAGTTGATGAGCCGCAAACCTGCATTCGCGCTATCGTCATTGATTGTAGCAGTTTTACTTCCATCGATTCTGTTGGACTTCAAACGCTTCCCTCTGTAAGTACTAAGCTTAGGAACTGGTCATTTTTTTAGCGGCTGGATCGGAAGGGGGGGGGGGGAAGGGGGTTGGAGTATTTTGGTTTTGTCACGATTTAATTTAAATGATATCTCCCCGTTAGGCTCTATGATATTCTTGCGATTCCCTCCTCACTAGCAGTTAATTGGAAAGTCAATTTTCCATAGTCTCCCCTTTACACTCTTTTGGCGACGACTAATCCCCTTTCTGTTCCCTCTGAAAACCATGTGATCCTCCAAAAATTCAAGAAATCTTCTTTTCATCCTCTAGCTTCTATCGGAGTTCAAGAAAGCTGGAGTTAAGATATACCTGGCTGGTTGCTCATGTGAGTATTTCCTTTTTTCAAGTTTTGAATCATAGTTTGGGCGGAATTCACGATAAAAAAAAATCACTCCTATTATTATTAAGGGTGATGTCTGACTCTCTGACGTAATAATTTACCTGCTAAGCGCAATGTCGTCTCTCCTCAGCAAACCTCATTAAAAGGCTCGCAAGTCCCTCTGAGAGGTCCGCTATACAGGCCATTCCACGTCACGCGATGTTTCCATCCATTCATGACGCCGTTACATCAGCCGCACGATCACGTAACAACCCAGTAAGTTCCACAATCACGTGACGGTTAAACAAAACTGATTCGCATGTCTTGGCCTTGATAGCGAAGAGCAAAATGAAGGAAGTGTACAATGAAAAACTATGGTGTTTCTGACCTTTGAAACTGTCACCTCTCATTCTGATCTTTCAAATATTTTTTCAATGTTTTTACTTACATTTTGGCCACTTTTACTGGTCTTCTCAAGACTTAAAATAGACATGAAGGTTCATATAACGGATCGTTGTTTTTTGATTCATGACCGTAAACTGAGGCATATTCTGACTATTACATGATCTAACATTCATGTGGGAATGCGCGGGAAAATGCACTTTAAGTACATCCTGAAATACGCATATCAATGCAATAATTCATGGTACCACTTTGTTACTTTATGTATTGCGATATGAGTAAATATTAATGATGACTACCTACAGTGATTAATATGTCCTCATTTGCTTTCCTTGCAGCTTTCGGGAGAAGACGGTGAGTCATGTTTGTAATGCTGATACTGGCTGATTTTTCTGTCGTGGAAAATTTCAGATCGTTGGTAGTTCTTTTATCACTGGCGAACGAAATAAACTTTTTAATAATCGGTAGCAGAGAGGGGCAGGGTGATGAGCTCTTCGTGCAGAATTCATTTGATTTATGGGTCTTCAAAGAATGATAGAATTAGCATCATGAACGATTCATAACGTAAATATAATCCAAACATTTCTCTTTTTTTAACGGAATATTAATTTGTACTTAATTTGAATATTAAACATGTACTTTAGGGAAGTAGTCAGGGGATGGGATGAAGCCACCAACCCGCCATAGTTAACCATGCTTTATTTTATTCTTTTCATTATACATATGTATCATTAAACTTAAACAATTAAACAAAATTTGAAATAGACTTTGTGGTTACAGTCCGTTTGCTCTATCCGTAGAGGCTCTTTCGCTGACATCCGCTGGATGCAATGAGTGTAGGCGCAAATTGAACGAGAGTTGAACGATTTTGTTGACCGTTCGTCCGGTTTGCGCCTGCACTCATCGCGTTCAGTGAACATTTAGTATAGAAACAGAAATGTTCATCAGAAGATTATCGATCTCTAACAAGAACGAAATCCGAACTCACTGAGAGACCAATACCCTTGACGTTTTTATAGCGATGAAAAGAACTAGAGGTTATGTAATGACGTTTGAAGGTAGTGTTGCAAATTATTTGTATTCACATGCAAAACAGAAAACCTGCCGCAACCCAGATATTTATGAGTATCATGTTCCACGAGAGAAGATGAAAATATAGTGACTAATTGACTTCAACCAATAATGATAACAAATAATCATATTTAAAAATAATAATAATAAAAAAAATAATAATAAAAAATAATAATAATAATAAAATAAATAATAATAATAATAATAATAATAATAATAACAATTGTAACAGTTATGATAATTAATAGAGGCTAACTCAAGAACCTCACTGTTCCTCTTTCCTCTAGGCTCCAATAATGATTAAGCTTTGCTTCTTTAACTTTTGCCTGTTAATTATAAATAATTTTCACATTTCAAAATATATGATCGGCCACTAGTGTGCAAAATCCAAAATGGGCCATTTGATCATAAACGATACTTTAAAGCAACAAACAACTGCACGAAAGTTTACCCGCCATAATTTGTTTGATACAAACCGGCATACTCAAGTGAAACGGTGTGGCTGTTTTTTTCATAAACGAAAAAATTGGCTTCATAAAAACGTTCTCTGCTGACGCAAATACAAGTTGATATTTGCCGCACTCTATATCCTTCAAATAAAAATCAGTGAGCGTAAGCTACCGTTAATCCGATCGAAAATGTTTATTCCATTTGATCATAAACAATACGTTTGAGTGGACAAACGACAACTGTGGTCAAAGGTTTTCCGTCATAATTTCTTTCATAAGAAACAGTACCTGAAATATCAGGCTTTTTCAAAAGCGCGAGACATATCAAATTCCGAAAGACACTTAAGTGCTTCCCCGAGAGCGGAATCGAAACTGATAATTTCACAATCAGAGTTCTCCATCTTTCTCTTTGTCAGAATGACGCTCAAATGACTCATATGGCGTAATATTCCCTCCCCCACCCCTTCCCCTCTCCTTATTTTTGAACGTCGACCGCCCCCTTGGTACAAATTTCTTTCTTTCCCCAGCCTTCGCCAAAATTACGCCTGCTCTGCAGGCTAGACACAAGTGGCCGATTTCAGATTTTGGACACTAGTGGCTGATTTGGGATTTTGAACACTGGTGGCTGATTTGGAATTTTGGACACTAGTGGCCGATTCATCATTTTGGATGTTAGTGGCTGATTTACCATTTTGGATGTTAGTGGCCATTTTATCATTTTGGACACAAGTGGCCGATTTTGGGTTTTGGACGCTGTCCAAATTTTAAAATCGGCCACTAATGTCCAAAAATTCCCAAATCGGCCACTAACGTCTAAAATGATAAATCGGCCACTAATATCCAAAATGATGAATCAGCCACTACTGTACAAAATCAAGAATCGTTAAGTAGTATCCAAAATTTAAAATCGGTTACTTGTGGCCAAAATAAAAAATCGGCCATTGGTGTCCAAAGTCCAAAATCGGCCACTAATGTCCAAAATCCAAAATTGGCCTCTGGTGCAGTTTCCTACTTCTTGAGAAATTTTAAGACCTTCCATGTAACATTCCACTGCTTATTTAATATTTTTGAGTCCCCCATAACACTGGCCAACGATCTACTTTGTGAATCCTTCATGGACCCTGTCATTAACTTTTCTGGCAATGAGTAGAGAATTCTTAAGTATGTTATGGCTTGTGAATAACCACCGACATCCCTATAGGTGTGGCTGAGATTGAAGGACTCAACTTGTTCTCCAACCCTATCACCTGTTTCTTTTTTAAAGATTAGAGATTGCTTGAAATATGCTATGGCTTGGGTATATTCACCGATGTCATGATAGGCGCGGCCGAGATTGTTGAACACTTCTGCTTCTTTAGCCCTATTGGTTGTTTCTTTGGCAATGATTAGGGATTGTTTTAAGTATACTGTAGCCTCTTTATAATCATCGAGACAACGACAAGCGACGCCAAGCCTGTGATACACGTTTCCTTCTGAAGCCCTTTCACCCATTTCTTTTGTAATGATTAGAGATTGGTAGAAGTACGTTATGGCTTGTTTATAATCACCGAAGCAAAGATAAGTACTGCCAAGCTTTTCGTACACGTCTCTTTTTGCAGCCCTTTCATCTATTTCTCTGGCAATGATCAGATATTTGTTAAAGTATGTTATGGCCTGTTTGTGGTCACCAGGAAAAGGTTAACACGGCCAAGCTTTCCGCACACGTCTCCTTCTGTAGCCCTCTCACCCATTTCTTTGGCGATGAAAAGAGATTGGTAGAAGAACGTTATAACTCGTTTATACTCACCCAGGCGAAGATAAGCAAGGCCAAGCATGTGGTACACATCACCTTCATAAACTCTGGCGTGTTCTTGCTTGGCAATAATTAGACTGTGTAGAAAGTTGTCCATTGCTCGTTTAAAATCACCAAGCTCTAGATACGCCCCAGCGAGATTGGCGTAGCCCTGTATTTCTGCCTCCTTGATACCATTGTGTTTTATATCGATGAGAACTTGCTCCCTTAGCTCTCTAAGGTCAGAATTTTTTCCAGCCATGTTTCAACTTGTGTCCCAACCACTTCAAACTTAAGGATCAGATAATGAAGTAGTGTGGATATGTGATCGGTGATTGGTTTAGAGCTGAATAGGCAGAGCGTGACATGTTATAATCGAACATTCAATCAGGGAACTCCCTTGTGATGAGAGAAAGTGTCCCCTGAGGAAAGCTATATCTCAAAGGAGGTAGCCATTATGAAAAGTGGAGAGTCACTCGGTCTTTTTTTTTTCGTTCGGGAAATTTGCTCTGAGTCGAAGCGTCTTGAAATTTAAGCTTCTGACAAAGTGGCCAACTAAAATTTCACACTGAGAGGCTGATACTCAAAACTTATAAGTAAGAGAGACGAAAAGAAGAAACTCAATTAATTGATAACTCGGCAGAAGAACATAAATTTTGATGTTATACACAAGCTGAGTTTACAATCGTATTGTTACCGTAAAATAATAATTAATCAAAACTTTCACGCTGGCAGGTTGAAAGTTCCTTCGTTAGGCCAGCCGACATTTACTTTTTCAGAAAATAGTCTCGAGGTGGAATTCTTAGATTTTACATGCGGAATGCTGTAATTTTGATGTAAAAAAGGTGAACAAGCTTTTGACTGTTTGGAAACCAAATTAAATTTTTTGTCTTGCTTGATATTTGCGACGAAAAAAAAAAAGTTGAGGATGGTCAACGGTAGACCTTTTGTTTACCGTTACACACAGTAGGTGGTTGCTCCGAGGATTGACAGCTGTACAATTTACCATTCGTTCAGTTTCACGATCAGCTATCCCTGCAGCCCTACTGCTTTTGCCGGCACGTAAGGGTCAAAGATTCTGTAAACTAACCAGCTACTCACTCAAATGCACGAAAAATAGATGAGTGGGAAATAAAAATGCCGTGGGAAGAAGTGAAATGGAGCAAGGATATTTGTGCAGGAAGAACAGGATGCGGGAGCTTACCTCACCGGCCCGCGATATTTCGTCAGCTTTTTAACCAATTGATCATCGAGTTGTTTTTGAAACACAATCTTTAGAACTCAACAGAAAAGTGAACCGAGAGTTACACATATAGGACTATGACGGATTTAGAAGAATCAGAATCACCGCCGTTGATAACTCGTCGACGCCGAAGGCGATACAGGATTAATTTGTCTCGACATGTTTACAATGAACGAGAATTCACTGAGTCGTTTATCAACCAAGAGGAATACACAGCGAGTTCTGAGGTTGAACCCTCATCCCTTGCAAAAACATTGAAGCGAAATTTCTTACCATCTAGATGTACGTGTAAAGATATCTTGCAATCATGGTTTCCCATCGTGGAGTGGCTACCGGCCTATAATATTCGCCGTGACTTGGCACACGACATAGCGGGAGGTTTAACCGTGGCGATTATGCATATTCCTCAAGGTAAGAGAAGTGATGTGCAAACAGGATTAAATATCCTTTTAAAAAAGAACCATGTAGTGTTAATTTTAAACAAACAATTTGTAAATTTTGGCGAGCTTTCAGCGCAAATCCCTACTTCATTATGAATACAGTTCATGGATGAAGATATATAACAATAGTGAAAACAGTAGACTATCTTTGGGAACTACGGGCCTGTTGTAGACTAATATGGGGCTATATGGAAATTTTCCTACATTTTTTGCATGGAGACCACTGATCAAGACAATTGTTTCCCCCCCTACAGTACAGTGCTCCCTCTACCTGTACAAGATTGAATGCACCCTCCCCCATGTCATGACTCCATTGAGGATGACCTACATACGAACCTTATCTTGCACTAAGCTACCCCCATATGAAGTTAACACCCTGTATACAGAAGACATTATATCGAGTTGTACATGTAAATTGTCTCTTCCATTAATTCACTTGAAAATGCAGTCCTTATTGAACACCCCTTTTGGTAGCATTTCTGACTTGAAACCTTAGTTAAGCTGACAGTGCACTAAAAAATTGGGATTTCTCTTTTGCCTGGCTACAGTTGAAGATAACATGCTTTTACTATAAATTTTTTTTCTGCTTATTAATTGACATACTATCTTTCCAAAACAGCCACATAATGGAAAGTTCCTCACTCACTTTGTTCCATTGAAGTTGAACAATAATCAGTAGCTAATTTACAATCAATTTACTAAACCTGTATCAATCCTTGAACTCCCAGAAGTGATTAACTGAAATTTTTTTTCCCTTAAAAAGCCTCTTGTTAGAGGGAACACACACACACACACACACAGCAACTCTCAAATGAATATAATTGCAGTTGTCTTGTTGCCATGTTTGTTGCAGGTCTGGCATATGCATTGCTAGCATCACTTCCAGCTGTTACAGGACTGTACACAGCTTTTGTTCCTATTCTTGTTTATATGGCCATGGGGACCTCCAGGCATATATCTTTAGGTAAAATACTCAATGTAGACTCAAAATGTGTCAATTTGAATGATGTCAAAATTTTGAAAGAACAAAAACAGACATTTTAGTGCAGTATGCAGTATTCTCAGTAAACACTTAATAACCAAAATGTATGTACATGTGCCACTCCAGTTAATTGTCAAAGAATAATTGCTGTGGAAATGTAACCAACATAAAGTGTTTAATTTGTATCAAAGAAGTGAATTTTCTGTTATCAAATATTCATGTTAATGGAAAGGCTCTGTGCACCAAGAGTATGGAACTGAATGGAGAATACAAAAAGATTCCTAATTTCAAATTTTTCATTTTTTTTTTTAAACTTGAATTTAATTAATCTTAGCAGTGTGCAGGATGCATGTCATATGAACTTCATAATAGACCTTGCTCACCATGGTGTCTCTGTGGCTCAGTGGTAGAGCATCGAAGTACAGAATCTGAAAGTCTAAGGTTCGATTCCTCATGGGGACTCAGAATTTTTTCTTTGTCCCACACTTATCACCAGACAAAAAACATCTTTCTTTAAAATTTAATTATTGATAAATATAGTATTACAAAATTAATGTTGATTGTTTTTAAATTAGAATCTAAATCATGATTATAGAGGAATTATAGATCACTTTCTTTCTAGGAACATTTGCTGTGGTTTGCCTCATGGTTGGTCATGTTGTTGACAGAGAAGTAGAACAATCTTTGTCACCCACCCCAACAGCACCAGCTCCTACAAATCCGCCTCTTGATGGCTCAGTTAATGAAGTATTACGGAATTCAATTTATAAACATGAGTCCAATGGCAGTTCATCAAATGAACAGGACTTGCTGGATGAAAAGAAGTTAGAGGTTGCTGTAGCACTGTCAATGCTTGTTGGTCTTCTACAGGTGGGTTCCCTGTGAACAGATTACTACAGTTTGTTTGTTATTGAGAGTTATAACTCACCCATTCATTTTTGTGGGATTTTGGCAGCTATTTTACATCATTTGATTAAAATCATTGGACCCTTTTTTTGTAATATGGAAATTGATGGAAGGGTTATTAAGTAAATAAACCCCTTTCTAGCTTGCTGGTGTTTTGGCTGACAAATGAATGTCCTTGGCAAAGAGATTGTTCTCAAAATTTTACATTTTCCCTCACAGCTTCACTTCTCAACCAAATATTCATTTTTTTGGATAGTCTCTAAGCTACAGATACTAACAGTCAACATGTGAGCAGCCTTAAGGGGTTTATTTACTTATAAATTTGTTTGTTTTATATTCTCTTAAGACTTTATAAGACTTTATAAGACTTTATTCAAAATGTTTAGTACTCTCACTTAACAACTTGTTTCAGGTATACTAGTACTAGTAAATTGCAATAAAATTACAATAAAAACATTACAATAAAAATGTACAGTTATGTTGTTACTAGGAGACGTGTGGATTTCAATTTTTTGTCTGAATTTTTTTAGAAGTTTTAATGTTTCTCTTCACATCCGGTTAAAAGTTTCATAGCTTCACTGTGCAAAATCTTCAGGATTTAAGTCCATAAGTTGTTGAATTGACCTTTGACTGGTCCAGTTTTATTTGATATATTTACTTTGCAGCTTTTAATGGGTCTGTTGAAGCTTGGTTTTGTTGCTGTGTATTTATCTGATCCTATCATTAGTGGTTTCACAACTGGTGCAGCAATTCTGGTTTTCACAAGTCAGGTGAAACACATCCTTGGATTGGAGGTTCCACGATACTCTGGAGCATTTGCTGTAGTAAAGGTTTGCATTCAGCTCAAGCATGTATTTGATTTTTTAATCTGTTTTTCACCATTGGAGGATGTCAACTGACATTGAATGAATTCATTATTGTTCAGTGAGGTACTACAATGTAAATTTTAAACTACTTGGTTGGTTGAGATATCCACTCAGCTGACTAGCACCAGAAAGTCATCTTCATCTCATGATTTTATCTGTGGAGGGCGCTGGTTGTAGTAGTTTGTAACTGAATGGGACAAACATTACAAGAAGACAAGTGCTCAAAAGAAGACTCTCTTTTAATACCAACCCTGTTGATGGTTTTGTTGGAATAAATTTGTATGTGCTTTCCCAAATGACTTTAATGGAAATGTTAGGCTTATTAATTACTTTTCTTATCACCTAATAACTAGACATAAATTAGTACTTGATAACCCTCATTACTTTTTCATGTTGGGAAATATTCTCTGGAAGGCAATTTGTAACAAGATCTTTGATTACTGCACACACAGGATTAACTTGACATTTGTTTATTTTTGTTCACTTGTTTTTCTAAAGTTTTATTTTCTTTGTTTCAGACCTACATATTCATGTTCAAGAATATTACTCTTGCTGTACCAGGATCAGTCATCACTGGAGTTGTTTGTATCCTTGTCCTCATAGCACTGAAATATATCAGTGAGAAGCTGAAGCACAGAATGAAATTTCCTATACCAGCTGAGTTAATAGTGGTGAGTGACTGAACCCTCTTGACCCCAATATCAGTATGCTTATTCTCCATACTGTTCTATACATTCCTTAAGTCATGGACAAAGTGAATTTGTGTTTCAATCAAGAACTGCTTTAATTGGTGCTCATTTTCTCTATTCTCTTATTTGAGGGGTG